AACTGTTAGTGGTCCTGGTTGAACAAGGTATTAAGTTTACATAACTGTTAGTGGTTCTGGTTGAACAAAATGTTAAGTTTCCATAACTGTTAGTGGTTCTGGTTGAACAAGGTATTAAGTTTCCATAACTGTTAGTGGTTCTGGTTAAACAAGGTCTTAAGTTTACACAACTGTTAGTGGTCCTGGTTGAACAAAGTGTTAAGTTTTCATAACTGTTAGTGGTTCTGGTTGAACAAGGTATTAAGTTTCCATAACTGTTAGTGGTTCTGGTTAAACAAGGTCTTAAGTTTAGACAACTGTTAGTGGTCCTGGTTGAACAAAGTGTTAAGTTTACACAACTATTAGTGGTCCTTGTTGAACAAGTTATTAAGTTTACATAACTGTTAGTGGTTCTGGTTGAACAAGTTATTAAGGTTTCCATAATTGTTAGTAATCGTGGTTGAACAAAGTATTAAGTTTACATAACTGTTAGTGATTCTGGTTGAACAAGGTATTAAGTTTACACAACTATTAGTGGTCCTGGTTGAACAAGTTATTAAGTTTACATAACTGTTAGTGGTTCTGGTTGAACAAATTATTAAGTTTACACAACTGTTAGTGGTCCTGGTTGAACAAGTTATTAAGGAAACTTTACGGTAGTGACCACCCTGTAGTTTAGTTTAACTTTACGGTAGTGACCACCCTGTAGTTTAGTTTAACTTTACGGTAGTGACCACCCTGTAGTTTAGTTTAACTTTACTATAATTGAAACTGTTAAGCCGATATTCGAATAATTCAAGGTAGACTGGGTTTTTGCCAGTACAGAATGGAATCATAGGATGTGCATACTATACACCAAACACACACACATATATATATATTAAAAGTTTAAAACAAGCCTTAACAACTACAACCAAAACGCTTCACAGGCTGTGATATGGGAAATAAGATGAACCCTGGGTTTTGGAGGTTACTGAGGAATTAGGACCCACAAAGCGGTAGGGATACGTCGTCTACCAATCTTAACTTCAAATCGCTAGTGATCTTTCAAGCTGTAGACACAACTGGGTTCAATGTTCTCTTTTTCCAGAACGAGCGGGAAGAGGTGAAACAAAAGTGGGCGTCCCGTCTACTAGGGAAGTTGAGGAAAGACATAGCTCAGGAGTACCGGGAAAACTTTGTTCTCTGCATCACAGGAAAGAAGTGGCCAACGTGCGTGCTGAGCAACCCCGACCAGAAAGGCAAAATGCGACGAATTGACTGTCTAAGACAAGCTGACAAGGTACTAAGTAGATTGGTACTTACTGTCAATGATACATCAAAGTGTATTTCTAATGTGCTTAGTCTGTACGCGGGGATGTAATAATATTGTTGATTTACTCGACAAGATTGAGTTTAATATTTGTTTAATGTTAGTGTAAATTCGCTACTTTAAATCACAGCCTCTATACAGCCGTAGTTTATGTATGACTGTATCTGTCTCATCACTGGTTCTGAAGGTTGCAGTTTCTTTGTTCAGAACGTAGAGCTGTACTGGTCGCTCTAATAGCATTCACTATGGTACTAGATGGGCAGGTTTGAGGGTCTATCCCTTGGTATTTGGATTTCACCTCATAGTGCCCCAAAATTCTAATTATGCAATATGACTGAGCGATATATGTAAATAGAAAGATATTAAGTGAAATATTTCACCCCAGCGTCTTGACTTTTGACAGAAATGGTTTAAATACTGCGTTTATGTTCTAAAATAATTTTTTTCTTTTTTTTAATAAGATACAACTTATTTTACTAAATGAAGGTAAAGAACATGTCGCTTAGAAATTACATCGTCGAAAAAAGATTTACTCATTTTTTACTTTTAAAATGTGAAGTAAATTATTTTGTTTTAAAATTTAAATTTTTTAAATATCTCTAGTTTCTATCTGTGTGTGTGTGTGTGTGAATAGTCTTGGTAAGAAAAATCAAATATAGAGATGAGGAGTAGTCATGTTTGTAAGATTTTATTGATTTCTGTTGTGATTTTTCAATGGCCACACCCTTCATATCACTTAAATCTTCCTTTTGAGTTACATACTTCCACGTTCAACCAGGACCACTAAAAGTTATGTAAGACTAAACTACAAGGTGGTTACTACCGTAAAGTTAAACTAAACTACAGGGTGGTCACTACCGTAAAGTTAAACTAAACTACAGGGTGGTCACTATCGTAAAGTTAAACTAAACTACAAGGTGGTCACTACCGTAAAGTTTCACTAAACTACAGGATGGTCCTATCGTAAAGTTAAACTAAACTACAGAGTGGTCACTACCGTAAAGTTAAACTAAACTACAAGGTGGTCACTACCGTAAAGTTTCATTAAACTACAGGGTGGTCACTACCGTAAAGGTAAACTAAACTACAGGGTGGACACTACCGTAAAGTTTCATTAAACGACAGGATGGTCACTACCGTAAAGTGAAACTAAACTACAGGGTGGTCACTACCGTAAAGTTAAACTAAACTACAAGGTGGTCACTACCGTAAAGTTAGACTAAACTACAGGGTGGTCACTACCGTAAAGGTAAACTAAACTACAAGGTGGTCACTACCGTAAAGTTAAACTAAACTACAGGGTGGTCACTACCGTAAAGTTTTACTAAACTACAGGGTGGTCACTACCGTAAAGTTTTACTAAACTACAGGGTGGTCACCATCGTAAAGTTTAACTAAACTACAAGGTAGTCACTACTGTAAAGTTTAACTAAACTACAAGGTAGTCACCATCATAAAGTTTAACTAAACTACAAGGTGGTCACTACCGTAAAGTTAAACTAAACTACAAGGTGGTCACTACCG